CTCCCGCTCGCGATCCCAGCCGCTATCTCTGCTCTCGCAGAAGCCATCCCCGATTTTAAAGCATAACTTAATAAACGCGTCGTTGGTCGGAGGCTGCGAGTCTCATTCGCTTGGGCGAGCGAAAAAAAAACACGAAAGGCATACGTTAGCAAATCGGATGACGCTTCGGCCGACGGGATTCTTTGCACACAACGAGATCTAGTTGATTTCCTCAATCAAATGGCTTAGGGATGCTACTATCGATTGCGTTGCGGCGGCGTTCCGAACAGACAATCCTGGGGTCGGGCGCCTTAAAATCCTGCCGGATTCATTGCGATTAAATGCACATGTAATTCCATTCAGATGCACGGTTAGTAAAGGAAAACCCCACGCCGGGAAACCGTCCGCCACTGCTGCGACGGTGGTTTGTTGGTATTCGGTCATCGTAGCAATGAGCGACAATAACGAATAAAAAGGAAAGGAAATGAAAGTACAAGGAAATAACGATGCGTATAGTAACGGTGCTTAATCAGGTCAAAGTTTCCCATTCGCGCACACCCTCGCGCGGCATCAAGAGGTGAATAAAACGTTGAATACAGCTTGTCGAGCATTCGTTTAATACAGCCCACTGGCTGACGTGCGCGGAACCCAGCGAACCCTCCCCCTCTCTCTCTCTCTCTCTCTCTCTCGCTCTCGCTTCCTTTCACGCTCTCTTTCTCCCCCTTTTTTTCTCTCTTTCTCTCCTTCTCACGCGCTCTCTTTCGCTTTCTCTCGCTCCTTCCCTCTCTCTCTCTCTCTCTCTCGCTCTCTACCTCTCTGTCATTCTCTCCCTGTCTCTCTCTCTCTCTCTTTCGCTCTCTCACTCACTCTCCGTCTCTCTCAACCTCTCCCCTTCCTCTCTCACCCCCTCTCTCTCTCTCTCTCTCGCTCTCTCAGCCACTCTCCGTCTCTCTCAACCTCTCCCTCTCCCTCTCTCTCAACCTCTCCCTCTCCCTCTCTCTCAACCTCTCCCCCTTCCTCTCCCCCCCCCTCTCTCTCCCTGTAATGAGTTGCCTGTTCCGTTCATTAGGCGGCGCTGGTGAGCGCGATTGTCACTTTACATCGCCTCCCTAATTCGCAACCTTTCAGACGTGCTGTTGCTAAAATGTTACAAATGTAGCCCATAATGAGACGAACTAACCCGAGAGCCTTGACTCTCGCACGTATCCACCACGCAGCCCGGCGTAATGCCATGCGTCCTGACCCACCCCGACTACAGTGAGAGCGCATATAACATAACAACATGTTCTGCTAGCATCTATGACAAATACGACATACGCATATACGCTCTCCTATGACATTATTTGTCATATAGGAAGATTCTTCCTATGACAAATATTGACGAGTGAACTTCGTTTCGCTTTACAGCTGAAATTCACTGCTTGCGTTCATAATAGCGCTCCTAAACTCCTATGATGCGCACAACACATACAACATTATTTGTCATAGGAAGAATCTTCATATGACAGATAGTGTCATAGGAGAGCGTGTATGCGTATGTCGTATTTGTCATAGATGCTAGCAGAACAGGCAGCGACTACAGCGAGCGTATATAACGTAACGAGCCGCCTACATGGAGTTGGAACGGACTGTCTCCGATCATTCGAGACGTAGAGGCATATAAATATTACAACGATATTATTAAAGAATGGCTGCGGCGTTGCTACATAGAACGTACAGCTAACGCGAAGGATCTCTTCTCCTTCTCCTTCTTCTTCTTCCTCTACTTTTTTTCCTCTTTGTCTTTTCCTTCTTCGTCCTCTTCCTCTTCCTCTTCCTCTTCCTCTTTCTCTTCTTCTTCCTATTTTCTTTCCTCTTCTTTTTATTCCGCCTCCTCTTCCTCGTCTTTGTCTTCTTCTTCTTCGCCTCACTTTGCCAATTATCGTTTACTTGGTTGCGTTTTCTCGGCGCGTTTCGCAGCCGATTGCTACGCGTGCATCGAATCTCCGCCGTCGTCGTTCGATCAGCGTTTACGAGCCCCCCAACGGCAGTCGGCGACGTCGCAAGATTACATTTACAGATCCCATAAAGGCGACGCGAAATCCATAATTTTAACGTTTAAACCGGAGTCGATGGCGGCGAGTCGAAAACTTCGCAGACGAGTTGGCGTCCGGTCGTGATCTTTACGCATCGACGCTATAGCAGACGATGTTTTCTATCTTTCGTATTTCTAATCGAAAGTCGAATTGTATATCGAAATAGTCTCCAATGCGCGCGCAAGGTCATTGTAGTAATTATAATAGGAAATCGTAACACACGGTTGCTTTCCTGTTTAAGGAAATCGTGACCAGCATCAGGAATCTGCTTCCGTGATTTGCTGAAACAACCGTCACTCTATATGGCGACCATGTTTGTATCATGTCGTTTGCCATGTTTGTTCGTCATCGTCATTCGCGTCATCTACTGATCTCTATAATATAGAAGTCAAACTAATCGAATAGTTATCTATAGTGATCGAATAGTTTATCGAATAGTTATCTAT